CCATATTATCTGCATTCCTGCACATTTTGCACATTTACAAACACAAAATATCTTTTCAGATTTTTTCTCCTTTTCACTCTTTGCTGCTGAAACATGGTAAAATAATATAATTACATGATTATACTATTGGATAGTTTGTTGATATGATCAGTTTATATTTATGTTCAAATCCATGTTGTGATGTCTGATATATATAAAACATATACTGTAACATGTGTGTCCATGTTCATACTGAAGAACATACATGTGTTGTTTGGGATTTTCCTTTAAGAAATGAAGAATCATCTGAAATTAATCCAATCTTTAGATTTTCCCTCTGTGGGACCAAGAAGGACTTTCTTATCTGGGCCCCTCATTCAACCTCTGGGAACTTTTATCTGGCTTCTGCTCTGGTCCAGATCTCTGGATCAGTAATAAGTTTAAGAACCAGAACCAGACCTCCTGGTTCAGGTAGTTTTTCTTCATAGAGGCTCAGTGGGTTTATCTTTAGATTTAAAATGTCTGTTTATGGATTTAGTTAAACGTTTTCAGGGAATAAGCGGTATTGAAAATGGATGGATGGATGGATGGATGGATGGTTTTTGCTGTTTGGTTCTGAGCATCCAAATGACTTATTTACAACATTTTAATTCCCCAATCAGAACCTGATTGGTGGAAAATGTTTAAAAGCATTTTCCTTTAGATTTAAACATGTGAAAAGCAGCAAAAGCTCAGATTTCTGAGCTCTTTGAACACAACAATGATTTTCCTTCATCTAAAGGCCTAAAAAGCTGGTTTCTCAGTGATTTTCTACAGAATTCCCCTCTCAGATGTTTCTCCATTTAAATGGATCCCACACAGTATCCTCTCCTTTCTCAGGTCACATGGGACAGCAGCCCTGCTCCCATTGGCCCGTTTGTATGTATGTCTCCTTTAAGGAGTTATCGTAGGTTTTTGGAACCAATTCTAGGAATTACAGTGTATTTTGAAGGAAGATTTGAACCAACATACCAATATTTTTAACATAGAAGTCGGTTCTTGAAGCAGTTAGACTCTTATGTGGAGGTTCTACTGTATTATGGGGGCCACATAAAGGTTCCTCACTGGTTCAGGGGCCCTCTGGGGGGGGGGGCACTCAAGTTTTTGACTATCCTGCAGGACCGGACGCAGTCTTGGAAGCCCATCCAGAGGCCGTAGTCCTGGTACTCCCCCGGGCCCAGCAGGTACTGGTACCTGGAGAAGTTGCTCCGCTGGAACAGGACCCACCAGCCGGCCTCCTCCCGCCTCTGCTGATTTCCTGTTTTTAACAAATGTTCTGGTTCAAACAGCCCCAGCATCTGGGAAACCCTTACTAAGGCTAAGTGGGGGGCCATCAGAGTCCAGATCCTGATGCTGAGGAGGACATTAGAGTCCAGATCTTGATGCTGATTCCGAAGGGGGCATTAGAGACCGGAACCTGATGATCATCACGATTTGTACTTATTTCCTGTTTTTGATTGTTTTTTGCATCTGGGAAACCCTTACTTCCGGCTTTGTTTCCCTCCCTGGCAGCTCAAACCGGCCGTCCCCCAGAGGCTGGCACTGCCCCAGACTCTGGAACCGCCACCATTTACAGGCCTGCTCACAAACGTCCACAAGGATCTTCTCGGGATCCAGATTCAGAGTCCAGATCCAGATCCTGAAGCTGATTGGGGCATCAGAGTCCAGATCCTGATGATCATCACGATTTGTAATGATTTCCTGTTTTTGATAAAGTTTAAAGAGCAGCAGCATCTGGGAAACCCTTACTTCCGGCTTTGTTTCCCTCCCTGGCAGCTCAAACCGGCCGTCCCCCAGAGGCTGGCACTGCCCCAGACTCTGGAACCGCCACCATTTACAGGCCTGCTGAGTAAGACCTTCCCAACAATGGCCCCGCGCATCACCCGCTCATCGCGGGCCGCTATAAAAGTGGCGCGAAAGGCAATCCCGGCAAACCGAACCGAACCGACGGCATCGGGGGGCAGGACCGACCAGCAGCAATGGGCAGAGTAAGGGGGAACGTTACTTGTATTAAGTTCTTCTTGTCTTCGTCTGTGTTAGTTAGGGATGGGACGGTTTCTGAAAACCGTCTGAACCGTTGGGTTCTGTCTCGGTTTGATTTGCGTGTGTTGCGTTCGGTTCCTGCTGCTCCTTTTTCTCAGAGGGAAGCGTTTACTCTCCAGAGCAGAAGGGGGCGCTACTGCTCCCAAAGCCAGCCACCAGTAGGAAACAAGAAGAAGAAGAAGCAGTGTAGCCGATAAAAATCAGACCGCCAGCAGCAGTTTCTAGGTCTGCTGTATGGACCAGTTTGCATTTAGAGGGAAGCACATGTTGGAATTAGCACTGTTTCCTCTCTGGCAATGCCAGAATCTCACCTACTTTAACCTCAGACTGTCACAGTAATGGATCAAATGTCAGACTGCTTTTTTCTTTCAGTTTTAACCTGACTATGCAAGACAAAATAGATTTTCCTAACAATCAACATATACCGAACCGAACCCAAAACCGTGACCACGAAACCGTGAATCGAACCGAACCGCGGATTTTGTGAACCGTCCCCCCCTTAGTGTTAGTCATGCTTTTTGTTTTCTTCGGGTCAGACAATAATAATCCACGAGAATGTTTTACCTTGTTGACATGTTTCGGCTGCTAACTGCAAGCCGTCCTCAGAACTGTCACCGGTGGAGTGGGTGACGTGCCAATAACAAAATCAGGAAGCGAGGCACAGAAACCATCAACAGAGATGAAGGAACATTTCTCCTTTCACCCACAGAGAGACCAACGGGCGGCGGTGGGCGTGGCCAGTCCTGCAGACCTGTGCGGTCTGTACAGGCTGGCCACGCCCACAGGAAGTAACGTGTGTTATTGGCCACGCCTACAGGAAGTAATGTCTGTTATTGGCCTAGTCTACAGGAAGTAACGTGTGTTATTGGCCACGCCTACAGGAAGTAACATCTGTTATTGGCACCTCACCCACTCCACCGGTGACAGTTCTGAGGACGGCTTGCAGTTAGCAGCCGAAACATGTCAACAAGGTAAAACATTCTTGTGGATTATTATTGTCTGACCCGAAGAAAACAAAAAGCATGAAAGGGGAACGTTCTCGGGGGGTTTCGGGCCTCGGGTTTTTCCTCCAACCGACTGACTGGAGCTTTTTAGGGCTTTAGATGAAGGAACTAATTGAAAATCAGCCATTTTGTGTATTTAGATGAAGGAAAATCATTTCAAAATCTTTTTTAGGTCTTTAGATGAAGTAAAATCACAGAAGAAAAATCAGCTTCTTAGGTCTTTAAATGAAGGAAAATCAGTGTTGTGTTCAAAGAGCTCAGAAATCTCAGCTTTTCCTGCTTTTTTACTGTTTAAATCTAAAGGAAAATGCTTTTAGACATTTCCCACCAATCAAGTTCTGATTGTGGAATTCAAATATTGTAAATAAGTCATTTGGACCCTCAGAACCAAATTAATTAAATCTGTAAACAGACGTTTTAAATCTAAAGATAAACCCACTGAGCCTCTAGGAAGAAAAACTACCTGAACCAGGACAAAGTCAGGTTTTCTTAAACTGATCAGAGACCTGGACCAGAACCAGATAGAAGCTAGACTCTCTGGAGGTTAATAAAACAGTGTATCTGCTCTGTTTCAGATCATCTTCTACGAGGACAAGAACTTCCAGGGCCGCTCCTACGAGACGGGCAGTGACTGCGCGGAGCTCACCTCCCACCTGAGCCGCTGCAACTCCTGCCGGGTGGAGAGCGGCTGCTTCATGGTCTACGAGAGGCCCAACTTCATGGGCCACCAGATGCTGGTGAGGAGGGGCGAGTACCCCGACAACCAGCGGCTGATGGGGATGAGCATGAGCGACTGCGTCCGGTCCTGCAGGATGATCCCCATGGTAACAGAGCCCTGACACATCAACACAGTCACATTTAGACGCTTTGATCCAAAGAAACTCTCAAAAAGAGGCTTTGACATCCAGCTAGAACAGAGATTACACAGCTAGCATCCATTGATGCTACATGCTAACAGGATATGATAGGAGATGCTTTGATCTAAAGAAACTTCCATAAAGAGGCTTTAACGTTCAGCTATAACATAAATTACACTGCTAGCATCCATTGATGCTACATGCTAACAGGATAAGATGATAGCAGACACATTGATCCAAAGAAACATCCATAAAGAGGCTTTATCCTTCAGCTGGAACATAGAATACCCAGCTAGCATCCATTGATGCTACATGCTAACAGAAAATTATTATAGCAGATGCTTTGGTCCAAAGCAACTCACAAAAAGAGGCTTTAACCTTCTGCTACAACATAGATTACACAGTTAGCACCCATTGATGCTATAAGCTAACAGGAAATGATTATAGCAGATGCTTTGGTCCAAGGTCACTTCCAAAAAAGAGGCTTTAACCTTCAGGTAGAACATAGATTACACAGCTAGCATCCGTTGATGCTGCAAGCTAACAGGAAATGATTAAAACCCAGCTCCAGTTCCAATCAGCTTGAGTCAAATATGCTAGAAGAGGATTTAACATCCAACTAGCACATAGATTACACAGCTAGCATCCATTGATGTTACATGTTGACAGGAAATTATTATAACAGAAGCTTTGATTCAAAGCGACTCTGAAAAAGAGGCATTGACATCCAGCTAGAATATAAAATACACAGCTAGCATCCATTGATGCTACATGCTAACAGGATATGATGATAGAAGAGGCTTTGATCCAAAGAAACTTCCATAAAGGGGCTTTAAGATCCAGCTAGAACATAGATTACACAGCTAGCATCCATTGATGCTACA